CACTGGCTTAAAGTCCTCGTGTATCTATAGAACAAGGAAATAGATACTCGTCGAATGACGTACATTGCTAATCCTCTATGCAGCGAAGACTACGAAGTGTTATACCACTCCTGTGGCAGCCAAGTTGGCAAACCTTCCGAGCAGTGGGCTGAGCTGCTGAGACTCCAGGCTCTGGCAATGACAGGATTTGCTTCCTGCGTGCTAGCTGTTCAAAGCTGCCCCAATACATAGTCATATCCTGTCAAGTCCTATTGTATAAGCTGTTGTGCTCTGACATCTCACTCTTTCTATGTCAAGTACGCGGAGATCACATGAAAGAGATTGAAAACTTCGTAGGTGAGATGACGAACCTGGATGTGTCCACTGAAAACAAGGTATTCCGATCAGCTTGTGGCAGACCTGCCTTTCTGAGAACATGTACGATTCCCAGCTGGGCCATATCTGCTTGATTCCAGCCTTGCGTGCTTGGGGTCTCTCTATGTTAGGATAACAGGAAGTACCTTTGTCGTCTACGATGTAAAGATGATTCATTGGAACTATTCACATAACCTGTCATTCACGAGCTTGACCAAATCTAGTTGGCTCTACGTGCTGCGGGTCGTACTCCAAGCCCCTCGGTCAAGAAACGCTGCATTGTGTTTATCACGCTGAGCAATGTATTCTGTCCCGTAACGTGTAGACATGGCAGGTACTGGGCAGTGTACCCTTGAGCCGATCCAGATCAAGCCTTTTTTTCGGAAACACATCTGGAGATAATAAGACCGGGCCATATGTGATCTCCTCGGCACGCAGGGAGCTCCAGGCAAGCTCTTTACTTGCATCGCAATGAGATGTGGTGGACTCTTGGGTCGGCGCTGTGCAACAGATAGGATATCATCTTCAACGACTCTGATATGGCGAGACATCTTGCGGATGCTGAGCGTTGGCAATGACGGCATTCATCTTCGTGCGACATATTACCTGGCCTCCGACTCCACCATTTACATCTGTCACGAAATAGTGCCAACTCGAGTTCATGCCAGCCACCTACCCCGCGATTACAGATTCGAACAGGAACCGGACTTGTGGCAGGAAGCACTCGCATGTTTGGAAAGACATCAATCGTTAATCGTGCACATGTGTTCATGTCATCTTTCACTACTGGTTATTTCCAGGACATATTTCTATTCCCTGGCACTTTTTGCCTCCGCCATGCCGGGCGGTTATCTGCGATGTACAGACGAGAAGCCGGAAAGATGCAAATGACTAAAGCCTGAAAGACATCGAAAGACTCCGTAGAAAAGCATCCATATCTTTCCTTATTTCATGAACCCTTCATTTTCCCAAACGTAACCAGGGCAGAAGCAGTGATCAGTCATATGCGACTGAGGTGGACGCTCAGGGCTCGAGGCCGATAGACCTCGAGCCCGTCCATCGCCTTCCATTCCTCCGACACATGGCGTAGGCTGCCCTTCTCGAACCCGATCAGAACGATCCGTTTATGAGCCGGGGTTGGGGTTCATCTGGAATTTTGTTAGCAGGGTCGCTCTGGTGACTAGGCGAGAATCCGTAAGACGTACCTTTCTCTTGCCACCGGTGAGGGTGACGTTCACGAAACGGCGGGTGTACGTGAGTCTCTTCTTGGCACGGCCCTTGGGGGTCTTGGTCTTCTCCTGCTTCTCAACCTGTTCACATATTGCGTCAGTGACCTGTCCGGAATGCGGCTAGAATCAAGCTCCCGAGTGTCTGGTGTCGTGTTTTCGAGGCTGATAGAATTGCAAGTGTCGTCGTGTTGAGCCGTGGAACCCGTGGCGTGGCTGGGTGAAGAGTTTGCGTTGTCGTCGGGGTGGGTGGCGAATTGGCATCGGACTCGTACTATCGAGGCGTTCCTTCCATCGAATCCATCTCTGCCATCGTTTCCTCCAGACGTTCAACAGATACCAGATACTCAAGAGCTCGGGGCGATCGGGGGGGCATTTTCGTGGTCGTACCTTGGGGGTCTGAGACTTGACCTTGCTGTGGGAATTGTCAGCAAACTGCGACCGGGAGTGAGGAGCGGTTCTTGGAGGTTGACTTACCCAGCACGGGCGAGGGATCCGTGAACCTTACCCATCTTGAATGATGTCTGGTGACTTTTCGATTGATGGAAATTTGTCGATTAGCTGGGTGTTGCGATGTGAAAGTTGTCGCACGGGGTTGGGCGGACGAGTGGGATTCGAAGCGCTTCAGTGATTTTTGACAAGCAAAGAGAAATGTGGAATTGTGGGAGTGGAGTCGCCATCAAGTAGGAAAGCGCTAGGTTGGGCGGTGCTGCGGTTAAATACATATTTCTGGCGGGGACTTTAGGTTGTCGGGACTTTTATATGGCGTAAATTCATTGCCCCTCCGCGTGACTCGAAGCATAATAATTGCCTGAGGCAGCCCCGTAATCACTTGGATATTCACAAAAAAAACCTGTGGCTCTATTTGGTTCACGCATCATGCACCTTGTCCGGGCTTGGGGCGTCTTGAAATAGTCGGCGATAGTATACATATTCATTGTCGGGCAGTGAAATAGTTCTAGCTATTTGCATGCATCCAGTAGATAACCAAAAGTTGTCACCCCGAATGAGCGCCAGCCAGGTGCCTTCCGAAAGGTGAAAGACCAAACCCTTGCCTCTAAAAGTATCGTGGTCATGGATTTTATGGATTTATCGCGGAGTTCTCCGTATCTACGCTAAGCTGTTCTCGGACTAGAGCTGGTCTCATGATGCGGATCAGACCATCACGAGAAGCTCCAAGGTAGCCGAGGCCGGAATCTGATACTGAATGCATGTCGACGATTGTCTGTCCTACCCATCTGCAATCAATCATTGGGTATTCAAGTTGAGCTTGTTGCCTCTGCATCATCGCATATTCCGCCATCTTTTTATCGCAGTACGACCGTGACTGACCGACTGACTTCTATTTTGTTCTCGTCTCTGCACTTTCCAAGCGTTCAAACTCCAACACCACCCCACCGCAAGCATGAAGCTATCTCGCGGCTTGCAGCTCGCCGCCTGCGCTGGCGTTTGTGCGGCAGATTCTTTGGCAGAGCCGCAGTATATCTTTTCCATGCCGGAAGATCAGTCGGCGTCAACCTACAGAATACCAACAGCATATGAGTCTGCGGTTCAAGGCCGGCGAATCTTGAACCGCACGCCGTTGGGCGTCCTGTCGACAGTGTTCCCAGGCTCTTCCAAGACAGAGTCGGCCTCTAGTGATGAGGACGGTTTCTCAAGCCAGGAAAACCGCCCATCTGGCTTGGGCGGCTTGCCTGTCGGTTTGATGGACTACATTGCCGACTGTGAGGAGGACGGAAACCCCACCATCCTCGCCATCAACATCGCAACCTCTTTCAAGAACGTGGCTGCGGGCTCCAACATCAGCCTGGCCCTGCAGTGGACGCCCCCGTATCCGCCAGCGAAGCGCATCAAGTCGGCATCTGTCTGCAGTCTTCTGGACCGGGTCCTGGGCAAGTGCCGCTCCGAGGATGACGAGGACGACGAAGAGGACAGAGAACCCGTGCCATACTCGGCCGCCAACCTCCCCCGCTTTTCCATGATTGGATATCTGGAGAAGCTCCCTACGACGGCCAGCCTGTCCAAGTGTTTTGTGGACACGCATCCGGATGCCAAGTACTGGCTGCCTGGCAACCGCATCCACGAGGCCGAGTTTGTGAGATTGGTTGTCCAGCAGATCTACTGGGTTGGAGGATTCGGAGACCGTGCTTACATTGGCTGGCTGAGCCCTGATGACTGGAAGAACATCACCAGAGAAGAGTGGGAGGATGTTAGGCTGCCTGGAGAGAAGAAGGGCTGGAAGGAGTGGAGTGTGCAAGAGTTGTAACCATCGTCCAACACGCACTACAGTAGTGGAATACTTGGTCAGGATCGAAATAGGAGTGAAATACGCGAGATGGGCCGCAGTCACCGACAGGGACGTATGAGGCAGGGATCCCAAGAAACCATTAACAAAAACTTTTTTGTGCATAGCATAGTACAGTCTTTTACATAAGCCTCACAGTCAGGAAGGAATTTATTCGAGAAATAAGCAACTTTGATGCTTGATGCTATTTTCGGTAGGCGGCGGTGAGTAATTGAAAAGCCATGACAAACTCGTGCACGCAAGAGAGGACTGAAGTCTACAAAAACCTGAGTATAAAGCATCACGTTCCACAGTGAAACCTTCGTACTACCCAGCCATAATCTATAATCAGCAACAACACTTGGCTCTGAAAGCGCAGTCTTTCTTTACAAATGTTTTCACATCACTGTAACATGTATCCAAACCATATGGTATTCATCTCACTTTGGATCAATGGTTCGTTTGCTTACACGAGTATCCGCCCCACCACACGGGATCGTCACCACGGCCGGCACCGGCCACTCTCACGCTTCTATGATTTGCAATACGGCACGAAGCTTCAACAACAACCAATAGCAGGTCTTGTGGTCTAGTGGTATGATTCGCGCTTAGGGAACACCCTGAACATTGTTTGCGCGAGGCCCCGTGTTCGATCCACGGCAAGACCCTTTCTTTTGCATTTTTGTCGCATGTGCAGAGTATGCGTCCTTTCTGAGCAATGTTTGCAATTCTTTTTTGTGCTGACTGTGCACGATAAGCAATGCCAGCCGTTAATGTCCTGAACATCCGTTGGTTTTGATAGCTGGGAGATGCCTGAACGAGTCATTGGCAGCTGACATACAGGTGTGAGTAAGCACTCTCTACTGAACGCTCAGAGTGAGACATTCAACGGTTTGGTGGCAGGTTGCATTTGAGTCAAACAATAATGCAGCAATGGTTATACAGAGTCTATCTTGGGCATGGCATTAACAAAGTGCAATATAAACACGCTGGAGCACTCCGTGTATAGTTGCACAAAAAGAATGGTGCCAAGATTTGTATCGTCACTTGAGGTTTTCCTGTAAACTGTTCTGAATTTCAGTTCACCGTAGCGGCAGCCATCAGTTCAATCCAAGTCGGCGTAAAGAGCAAAAATGTGGACGAACAGGTGATCGAAACCTGGACCTTCCGCAAGATTGCTCAATGCAAAGCGGATGCTCTACCACTGAGCCATTCGCCCGTTGGGTGATAAAAGTGGTGGGTGCTAATGTCATTTCTATAGTGTCATCAAAACACCTGCACGCCGACCCATCATGCACGTAAGACACATGTAAGCAGTGCCCGACGTTCCAAGATATTTACTCGGAATGCGAATCACTGGAGGCAAAGGGATGGCATCGGAATATGGTAAAAGTAAGCATACATACCTCGACGTAGATCTTCAATGTGGACCTTCACAACAATACCATCGACCCGTAGAGATATTTTGAGCTCATGAAATGTCATTCGCGTAGGAGCAGACGTGCCACAGTCATCTGCATCTTGACTGCTGTATCCTACCGCAGCATATGATACATCGTGTGGGTTCTTTAGACGAGGCCAGGATAAAGACGAGAAAATGCTTGGTCGTGGCAGCAAAAGCGAAAGAGATGTATAATTAATCATAGCAAGGCTGATTGATTATACATACCTAGATAAATACTTGCAAAATGTTTTCCCTCCCTATATTTATGCATGTCATCCAATATCAACCCGGTGCCCACAAAGACGACGATAGATTCCTTCGTGGCTTGCAATATGCCATACCAGTGGATCTCAGAAGACGAGTAAATTTTGACATTCCTGATGTCGTACTCGTAAAATCCAATTTAGAGAACATCTCAGATATGCAAAGCAAACTCACCGCGCATGTTTGCTGCCGAATTATACATTCTATAAATACACGCCTCTAAGCCAGTCTAAGAATTTTTTTTTTATCTACCACGTCTGCTGTCCGTCATCCTACAGGGTTCGAGAATCTACTCGGTCTTCTCCTTGGCCTCGCCGTTCCACTTCCACGGCGCGTTCCGGTGCAGCATGTAGTCCTTGCTCTGGATGCCCCTGACGATGCCGACCAGGCCGCCGAGGGGCCAGACGCTCTTGACCCAGGCCTTCCAGCCCTGCTCGGGCGGCGCGTCCTTGACGCGCACCTTGTCGTACACGTTGGGCAGGCTGGTCGCCTTGTACTTGCGCCGCAGCCCCTCGTAGTGCTCGCGGTTGCCGTACGTCTCCCAGAACTCGGACTCGCTGTAGTACGTGTGCGCGTACAGCCACTTCATGCCGCCCAGCTCGTTGACCTTGGCCTCGAGCCCGCGGTTCACCTGGACGAACTCCTGCCGGTCCTTGGGGCCCCAGCCCCAGACGCCAATGTTGAGCATCTCACCGGCGCCCTTGTCGCCGCGGAGGTGCGGGTGGAAGGTGGGCCCGCCGGGCGTCTTGAGCGGGCACAGCCACAGCGGCCAGATGTTGAGCGAGTCCGTCGTGTAGTCGACGAACTCCTCGGCCGTCTCGTACGGCAGCGCGAGGTCCTGGACGAAGAACTTGGCGCTCTCGCCGCTGGCGTGCAGGGCGCGGTAGAGCATGCGGGTGTGCAGGAAGTCGTCGAGGAACCAGCGGAAGAAGCGGCTGAACGGGACGGGCTTGAAGTAGTCGAATGCTGCAGCGCCGACCCAGAAACCGCCGCGGTCGTAGCGGAAGAGATACTCGGCGAGAGGGATGTGTTCCGTCACGACTGTGCTCTCGCCTGCTGCGGCACTTCCCGTGGAGGAGGCGGGAAGAGCTTTCGTGACGTCCTGAACATGGAGGTAGAACCACGGGTCCCATGGCCCGCTGAATGTCTGAATGGCCTCTCCAGCCTTGGGGGCCTCGTCCGTCATGGTGCCGCTGATGATGACGCCGTGGTCCTTGGAAAAGAGGATGCCGTCGACGTAGTCATTCTCCGGCTTGGCGCACTCCTCCTTGACCACCCTGATGGCCTCGGCGACGCTGCCCGTCCGGCGGTACGTCGTGCGCACAAACTTCTTGGCCTCGACCAGGCCGACCTCCAGCAGTGTCGTGACGCCCAGGGTGCCCACGCTCGCCACGGCGCCGTTCCAGAGGTCCGCCCTGTCGCCCTTGTCGGCGGAGGTCACGTTGGCGACCTCGCCGTCGGGCAGGACCATCTCGACGCTCTTGACGGTCTCGTCAAAGTAGCCGTGCCTGAAGCTCGAGCTCTCGCCGGCGGTGCCCGCGAAGCCGCCCCCGGCCGTGATGCCGGGGAACTCCATGACGACAGGCGGGACGAGGCCGTGCGGCAGCGTCGCGGCCACGAGGGCGTCCATGGGCACGTTGGGCTCGACCAGGGCCGTCTTCCGGGCCTTGTTGACCTCGAGGACGTGCTTCAGGGCCGAGATGTCCACCAGGTGCGACGACTTCTTGAGGTGAGCCGGCCGCGTCGAGTTGGTGGAGCCATGGCTGATCCGGTAGGGTAGAGAACGGTCAAAGTAGGACCGGATCGTGGAGGAGATGAGCCGAACGGCCGCCCTATGGCGCTCCATCTTGATTACCTTGGAAGTGAGTTGGAAAAGATGGTCGGCAGCTTAATCAATCAAGTATATGGTCGATCCCCTTCCTCTACTCACGCCGCATCTGATTGGCCTTGTCCTCCGGGGTCGGTGGTCTGATATGAGACGCGCTGAGATGGATTGAGGCGCGTGCTAATACTGAAAATTTGGGGCGTTGAACCGCTAAAGTGGCGCCACCTTCCTACCATGTTGTACACTACAGTACCCATTACCTCTCGCAGCCACAATTCATTTTTATAGCGACAACAAACCAGTTTTCTTGTTCTTGGTATTGCTAATATTTATAGTGATATGATAACGTTCGTGGTGCACATGGAACGTAATAATTAACTTCAAGCTGGCATTATCATGTATCTTCCGCCGGGTTTTAAACATTACGTATCCTCCGAGTCCTCGACATCTTCAAGCACTGGTGTTCCAGTCTTGTCTACATGTATGTATATAAAATGTGATTCAGAAAAATTCGAAAGCTTTCAACTTTGAACGGCAGTCTCTACTTCTCAGAGCTTCAACGGCGTCTTTGAGATCTCGGGCTTCTTTTCTATTGCCTCGTACGCCAGCTTCGTCAACTCCTCGATCGTGTAAGGACTGAGTGATTTGATGTCGATCTCCGACTCATCGCACGTCTTTGCCTTGACGCAAGTGTATTTTGATGTGACGCTCGACGGGTTCTCCACCGCTGACGTGATAAACTTGGTGATCTCGTCGAGGCACTTCTTCGACCCCGGAAGCTGGCCCAGGAGAAATGGGAACACGTGGGGCATGCCCTCGTACTCTTCGAACACGACCGTGACACCATCCTTGGTCAGCTTCGAGGACAGATACTTGTCTTCATCTGCTAGGCACTCCCAGCCTGTGCATATGTAGATGGGCGGCGAACCTTCCCAAGAGTCGGCCAGCTGCAAACTGGCCAGAGGATGCAGCAGGTATGCATCGTCAACGTATATGTGCCTCCTGGGAGGTGAGGCAGGCCAGATCGAGTCGGACGGCACATTGATGGACAGGAGGCTCGGCGGTGGGAGGTAATCCCATTTGAGGTTGGTTATCAACGATGGCAGGCTTTGCACAGCATCCACCCAGGGAGAGAGCAGAGCGAGGCCCGCCGGTAGCGGCACGTCTCTTTCCTGCCCGAACCAGTTGATCTTTATGTTCTGTCGCCGAATTTCGAGCAATGTCTGCAGAAGGGCTAGACTGAGTCCTCCTCCAGCGCTTTCGTAGATTTGTTAGCTGTGAGGCGAGAACAAACAGATAAGACGGTAAAACTCACCTATCACCACTGAACACAATGTTGGAAGCGTCCACTGGCTTGTGAACCGCCTCGGGTGGCGGGTACAGCAACGTAAAGTAAGACACCAAGGCGTCCAGTATGCCCGATGGAAATGGATGTTGCGGCGCAAGTCTGTATCGCACCGAATAGACACGACCTTTGGTTATCTTGGCCAGCTTCTTGCACCAGGGGCGATACGATGCCGGGTCCAGCATGTAATAGGCTCCACCGTGCAGATGCAGAACCGTCACGTCGCTCTTGACCTCCTTCATCATCTCAGCGTACTTGTCCTGCTCCGATATGCTCGGCGGCTTCGAGTTTGACGTCGCCCCGGCGCGATAGCCCATCCACTCGGCCTCGACAGACACCAGCTCCGGAACTCTGCAGTCCTCATCGGCCGCGACAAGATCCTTCTTGGTGCCATTTACGGCTGCCATCAGAGCGTCCCTGATGCCCGTCTCCGGCGGAACTCCCGAAGACGTGGTGCTGACCCATACCCTGCCCTGTACGCCGGGATCCTTCAGAGTCATGGCCTGCAGCTTGGATATCGGCGTCGGCGTGGACCCGCCTATGAGGTTCCTGAGGAAAGCCACGGTCACATCGCTTCTCAAGTCCAGGTATTTCGCCCCATCCGACATGCGCAGAATGTGCAAGAGTGCCACCCTCAGTATTAGAGGCACTCTTGGTAGTACCACCCTCAGGGTCTCAAGCTGGCCCTTGATCTGTGCCTTGAGGCCATTCTCATCTGTTTGCGCCATGTTGTTTATGTGACGAGATCACCTATTGGCGGCCGACTGCCTCAGATGTCGCCGGCAGGAGCAACAACCGTATATCGCCACACCTCGACAATTAGAAGGCGAGAAGTCGAATGGAAGAAGTTTGGCGACAAGACAGCCAAGGTCGGCCCAAGATTACAAGAGACGTAAAAGAAATCCAAAGATTAGAAACCAAAAACAACAGGCAAAAGCTCAGAAGAACAATGATAACATTAATGTCTGAGGAAACTTACGGTCTTTAAGAAAAATCCATGAAACCATGATACAAGAGAGGGGTGGTCACTAGTATTAAGCTTACCTCCCTGGTGACCTAGGCACATCCATCCATCGCAACCCGGAGCCGTCGGGCAATTTGTGAGACGGGAACATTTTTAGCAGCAATCACCTCGAATAGAGCAGCTGGGAAACATGACAGGCATTCTGACATGTGGCAGGGACCGGAACGACTGCATACGCGGTGAAGACAGGTAGCCTCGATGCAACCATGAAGCGTTCTTTGTCCTCCAGCAATAGATACTTTCTTCAGACTTGCAGGCCAGTTTCGGTTCGCGACGTCTGTGCACCCCAAGTCCGCCCACGCGATAGTGTACACCAG